AAGGCCGTGCAGCACTTCTACAGCATCAAGCAGGATGGCAAGGTGCCCATGCACAAACTCTTCCTGGAGCTGTTGGAGGCCAAGGTCTGACACTGCCCCCTAAAAATGACCCCCCCCCGACCCATCTCCCCCTCCTGACCTCTACCCCAGTAAGATGCAGTAGGGCGGGAGAATCGGCCTCTCCGGCTTTCCTTCCATGGAGGGCGCTGACATTTTATCGCCCCCTGGAGGAACTTTGTCATCAAGCTACGGAAAAATAACGGCGCGAAAAAAACGAAACAACTAACATTAACAGCATTCATTACTACTTACAGCTATACCGCGTATAACAGAGATAAATTCATGAAACTGTGGCTGCACTGAATGTCAACCAGCTTTTTTGCCCTTTGTTTCTGATGCAGCGTTTTGTTTTTGTTTGTTTGTTTGTTTGATTGTTTGTTTGTTTTGTTTTACTTTATTTTTATTTTTTTTTCTGCGATCAAAACGAGATTTGTCGTTCTCTGACACTTCTGGAGCAGAGGTGAGGATGAAGCCAGCCCTGCCCAGGAACAGAGATTCATTCAGTGGATGCCAGCGGAGCATTAACCAGAATGCAGGCCAGTACCCGTCCACTGAACTAAAGGCGTCACAGAGAGCGCTTTCCTTCTGTAGCGCACTGGCACAGGACAGAGACGGAACACAGTATTAGACTCTACGAGTGCAGTTTAGGAAACTGTGTGCAGGTGGATATCTGAAGTAACTGCAGCATTTTTCCATCCAGTCGGACAGTTGATTGATTTGGTAGTGGTTTCCTGTCACGTCTTCCAAGAAAAATCATATTTTTTTTTATATATATATATATATATATAATTTCATGGTGATCTTTTCAGGGAAATCTGAAGCTTTATTCACTCATGCAATGTGAAAAAGAAATATATATATATTGCTTGATCGTTTTTCGTTACATTAATAGGGAAACGAGGAACAAAAGCCGAAGTCATATATTAAAGGGAGACGTTTCAGATTTTTAATGATATTTTGTGCGTAATTAAGAACTTTTGTATCAGCTTAATCAATTTCAGACATTGTATCAGTTGTTAATTGTGAAAAAAATGTAACCTTCTACGAGCAATAGTAATTACTGAAAATCTGCAAATACACAAGTAGGCAATTTATGTTTGATGTTTGGGTTTAATATAATTACTTTCTCTGGCATACTGTGGCAATTTTCATGACCATCAACTCTTAGATTGTATCTACTCAGTTAAAGGTAGAAAAAAAATAAATACAAATTGAAAGCCAAATTAGATGAACCAGACAAAAAAATGCCCAACAATTCCAACGTAAATCGTAAAAATAACAATGCATTTGATCTTTATGGAATTACACGTCACCTCCAAGGAAAGCTGTGATTTCTGAACTTTACATTTTCCCCCTGTTTTCACAGACCTCAGTTTGCATGTCTGTTGTAGTAAGTACACAAGGAATAATCTAATAGCGATGAAATCTTGAGTACTGCCTTCTGGGGACATTCCAGTCAGTAATCTAAATATGCTAAAAAAGAAAAGAAAAAAAATAATCTGCTCGACACCACATCATGCATTGATGTCTCTTAGTCTCTTTACTTTCCAAACCTTCCTAACCATTGTATATTGTAAATTTATAGACTGTAAAACTAACCTAAGATATATTAATGGAACAGAGTAAAAGTGAAGAAAAAAATGTAGGTAGGCTATTCATTGTGTCTTGTTAACTGTGCTTTTATTTTAAAGTTAGTTTTTTTTCTCTCTTTTACGTTGCATAAAAAAACCGATGTCTTGTACCTTCCGTGGTGACTCCAGTTCTCGTGCTGTAAGCTTTTTGAAAACACAGGGTAGAATTAGAGACAGTACTGGATGTACGAAGCCTCAGGAGACACCGGTGGTGCATTTGTTCTCTAATAATCTGCTAATAAGGCTCTTTTATTAATCGCTAGATCAACACATCCAAAAATATCTCTCTACTGGCTTATAACTGAGTAACTACTATTGAAAAGAATGAAAGAACATCTATAAAAGGAATCATTTGTGTAACCATTTCTTGTAGATTAACAGTGTACATCTTAGGTTTAAAATCAAGAAGCATTTTAATACTTCTGAACAATCAGTTGTATATTTATTTAAACAAAAATAATAAAAAAAAATGCTGTATATAAAGCCTTCCATACTGATCAGTTATATCACCGTTATATTATACTTTGGGGTCTGAAGGTTATGAAGGACAAAAAAAAACCTTTTCTGTTTGGTGCAGGCGAGTTTTATCTTAAAACTTACCGGGACACAAAAAGTATTTTTAAAAGGAAGATTGGGTTTTAGAGATCTTCTCCTATAGACGTGTTCTAGAAATGCTGTATATGGACTCTTATGTTGCTGTATGAAACAGCAGGGAAGTGGACTGTGATTCCGTATGTACTGATCGTGCAGTGCATTTTACCGGTTGGTTGTTAGGTCGAAACCCCCTTCTGCTTGTCAGAAGCTACACCATTAGAGAAAGTGCTGTTTTTGTTCTTCTTTTGTATGTTTTTTTTTTGAGGGGGGGGTTGTTAAGAAACATGTTTTCATGTTTGTCTTACTGTTTAACTTATATTTGCTCAAAGCAAAATTGGAAGGTGGGGTTATAAACACTTGGGTTTAAGTGTCTCCAGTCTGGGACTGCCCTGAATATCCATAATACGTGACTAGTTATAGATCAACAATGGTGACCATACCCCAGTTTGCCTAATTCCAGATCTACTGTTACATTGTTTTTTTTTTCTTTTTTCAGTGAAAAGCAAATTGAATCTTCATTTAATAATCAATTTGGAATTTATTATACCCTTCACCAACGAAGAATATTTAAACAATAAACCGGATTTTGTTTTGCAACAAGTTACTGGGGCAGAAATGGGAGAATGTTCAGCTGAGGTCACAGCTGAAACATTTTGCTGACTTTACAACATCTACTGTTTATCATAGGAAAGGTATTATTTAGCCATAAAAAAATCTGAAAAAATTTAAAAAAACATTTTTTTCTTATATGAAGCAATATGATTGTGCAACATGGGGAAGTTGTACTTTGTTGTTTTATTACATCATAATGCTGTATTTATGGAACTATTTTGCATTCAAATTATAGGAGTAACAATTAAATGTAAAAACAACTGCTATTTTTATTATAGAAGAGATTATGGGTGCTGTCCATTGTATTTAAATGATTAACACTTCACCTGCCAGCAAATTGAAACCATCCGTGGCATTTGAGTTTGTGCACGAAAGCCAGAATGGAGGAGTCCCATGCGAGAAGCTTAATTGAGAAGTGAAGGTGAAACAATTTTCAATCCGGGAGACGCAGGAACCAGCAGTGAGAAACCATGTCAGTAGATCTAGTTCTGTGCTCTACGCCTGTAAAACAATTACCTGTATATTTTTGTGATGTGTATCATAAAGTGTGCGCCAACAATATGTCGATTGTGTAAATGTATTTATTTTACATTGTATATAGTGTTCAATGCAAAGAGAGACATTGACCTTTCCCCCCACCCCAACTGCAGTCGGTTAAAATGTGTAACTGCAATTATGCCTTTCAGGATAACAGTAGAGCAATATTAAACAATGCTTCCAATTTTGATTTGTCTTTGTTAGCTGTGTGTGATTTATTCATTACAGGAGACCAATTTTAATAGCAAATGCTAACAATGTGACAGACATTACTGATCAGTACTGCAACAGTATAACACTATAAATAACACTGTAGATATATATATATATATATATATATATATATATATATATATAGAGAGAGAGAGAGAGAGAGAGACTATGGGCTTAACCTAATTAACTTTATATATTATTTGCTTTTATCCAAGGTGATGATATACATCCATATTTATACACACACACACGCACACACACACCCACACACAGATTTTGAGCAATGGGGGGTGGTGACTCTGCTTATCCTGGGATATGAGTTGGTGACCTTTCAGTCAGAGCTATATTCCACTCCCCACTTCATTTAAAACTTTATTTAGACACATGCTTATTGCACAAAGTGGTCTGCAATGAGGAAGGATGTATTTAACATCTATATGTATAAATGTATACATACACACATATTGTGTAACCAGCTCAATAACATCTGGGTTTAATGCTTAGAGATGGATTTAAAGCATCCTACTTTTCGGTCAGTATTACAGCGCAGTAGTAATTCTGCTGCTGAAATCTGTCTGCTGCTGGCTTGTCAGAAATTAACTTGCACCACATGCACAGGTATTAGGAGCTAAATTTCACACGTGGTTCAAACATGCGCGCACATCAATTACTCTAAAATTCATGGCTATTAATATGTTAATTTGTTATGTACACCGTTAATTAAACAAGGAATGGGTGGCACAAACAACTAGTTCCACTTCAAGTCCTGAATTTAAATTAACTTCCTTCTAACAAGAAGGAAACAAAGAATCCAGAACTGGAAATGCAACAGACCA